GGCTCTTCACAACAAGTACTTGTCTAACCCTTTGAATATCTGTGACTTCAAGGATCCTGCACTGACCTGTTTTTCTGACCAGAAGTGATTAAATACATCTCTTCTTATGCCTGTTGGGCTTGCTTCTTATCTTTTTATTATTTTTTCCTTCTTTAAGCATTGTGAGAGACTTGGCAATGGAAACAGCTTGGCAATTGGTAATAATAACATCTCTCCTCAACAGAGATGTTATTCAACTGGACTCTGGGCTACTTAATGTACTTGAAAATATCAGGGTTGGGCCATGAAACAAAATTGTATTTGAAACAAACAAAATAGCTGTTGGCAGGCGTACGTGAGAGCTGGCTCTTCACTGTTGTGTGTACATGCCAGCATGGATTTAAGAACAGCATTTGCACTTAAGTTTGGCTTTTTTTTTTTTTAAAAAAGCAATTAGATGTTATATATCCAGATGCTCAAAGTGCATCTTGTCTGCTTTTGGACCTTTCTAACCAGTAGTGGGAAACAAGCTTATCTATAGTGTGTCCTTTGCCTTCTTCCAAAAGGATATTTTGGAAATACCGCCCCACAGCCCTCCTCTTTCTTGCAGGGATACTTTTATAATCCTAGTGTTCATTTGGACATTCAAGCACCACTATGTCATTTATCTAAGAACATTTATTTAAAATCTAGTCTAAACATTTATTTAAAAGCAAGTTATTTAAGTCCAGTTCTGTAGTTTCTTTGATGTTTATCCAAAATGGTCCAAGAGATTTCTTTCAGTAGACAATTCTCATGGAAGTCTTTGTTCAAGTCTCATTCTAAAAACAATTTCCTAAATGTTTTCCAATATTTGAATTCTTCCCTCCCTTTGCAAGCCCTCTAGTACAAGAAAAAGTAGTCTTTGCTGATGCAGCTGTTTTCTGGAGCCCCAAACTTAATGAATCTTTTGTTTCTTTGTAGGTAAATTGCTGTCAGCAGTTGAAATTACACAAAGATGTTTAAACTCCAGCACTTCCACTCTCAATATGTCTATACCAATGAATTCAGAAGTTGGCTCTGATATTCTGTCACCCTGTGAACTCTCTCCCCGCTTCTCAAGATCTTTTGGAGACGAACCAGTGAGTCAGTGCAGTATGTCATGTCACCAGCTGGAGATAACTGCTCCGCTTTCCACACGATGGGCGGCAGAGAGTTCAGCTGTCTCCAAACCAGCTGAACCAAACCAGCAGCTGCAGACTGTTTCACCTGACTGCCATTCTGACAGAGTCCGTCCCATGGTTGTTGCAAAAAGTGTTCAGGATCTGCTAGCTAAAAATGACTCAAAAGATGTGAATAGCAGCCTGCAGAGATGGACTGCCAGTTCTTTGGCTGGAGTTAAAAATGAAATGGAAGTTGACACAGGATCACAAACTTCACGTGTAGGTAGGGAGAGCAGTAAGGGTCAAGAAAGTGATTCTTTGATTGAATCTAGTGCTTTGCAAGAAATACATAAGCTTTTGGCAGAGGATATAACTGGCAGGTTGGGCAATCCTGTCTTTTCCACTGCCTCTTCTAGAGAAACTGGGGAGTGTTCCCCAGTCCTAAGTAGAAAGGAAAGTGACCCTGAAGAGTCCAGGTTAGTGAAAGGCAGCGTCCCTCAGTTTCAGAAGATACTGTCATGGGATGAGACTACGACCCAAAGAAGCATGCAAGAAGAGGGGTTAGAAATAAGTCCTCTGAGTTACAACACATGCAATTTAAGATGGGAAGGTTCTTTTGATGTCAGTTTGCGCAATAGTGAAGAGGTAACGAAGGAAATGATCAAAGAGTTTAGGACAGGAAAATCTGTAGGAAGGGCTGAGCCAGAAGGCTGTAGTAGTGTAACTACAGACAGAAATCAGCCTGGTTTTGTGGGTCTTGCACAAAGCACTGGAAGCAGTGAAGTCAACACTGAAAGAACTTCAGAGTTGAAGAATCCTTCCTCCTCGGAGCCTCTAGGCAGTGTCACTGATGTCGCAGGAGGCTTCCAGAGCATGTTGTCTAAAGCTAGTGTAGCCAGAAACAAGGCAGGAGGCGTGCAAGAGAGCGATGACAGTAGCAGTGGAGATTCACTAGCTGCCCGTGTCAAAAACTTTCTGAGAAATGGATCACCTGTGATACATTCAACACAAATTCTGAAGAGGACAGAGGAAGAGGAGAGGAAAGCACGAGGTAATAAAATGTCTCAATTGTGTTTTATCAAGTGTTATGTGAGAATGGCAAATCTTGATTTAGGTATATGTTTAAGGGGTTGCTTTGAAATGACTTTGAAATGAAGGGGTATTGATGTAAGAGGACCTGAGTCTGTTCACCTGATTTTAAAGGTGTTTGTATTATATTATTAATGGTAAACTTTAATGGGACAGGGCTTAAATGATAACTGTTTTTTAGTCATCTTACGTAGTATGATAGAATGGGATAGAATTGGACTTTTCCAGTTTGAATACTTTCTTTTGCCTAACATTGGTGTGAGAAAGTATTTTGTCCACATGGCTATTAAACATGCGCTAAGTTAAGAATTTAGGAAGGGATTATGTGAAAGGGTGTCAACCTGAGTCTGAGACTGTAAAGATGACAGAACCAGGCAATGGGTCCTGGATCCATCTTTCCAAAGAAATGTTCAAAGGATCCATATTAAATTGTATTCCTGGTCAGTCCATGAGCTCTGGTATTTGATGGTGGTCTTTGTTCCCTCGGTCGTGGTAACTAGAAATTCACAGCAAAGTTTTTTATTTTAAGTTGTGAAACTGTTATCATACATGATGTGAGAAAATGAAAAGGGAACTGCTTTCTGTTTTATCTTCTGTGTGTGTAGCATGGGTGAAGCTAAAACTGGCCAGCCGATCTCAGGAACCTGTGTCAGAGTTGAATGAAGAGGACCAACAAAGAATAGAGGAAATAAAGGCAGAGCTGCTTCTGAGTGCCAAGAAATCTGCACTAGCCAAGGTACAAAACAGACAAACCAGCTGCTCCGGAAAAAATTTTTGAAGCGGGGGATAAGTGCTGCTGTCTTGCTTGTGATCTTAAAATGGTGAATTATATTCCTGCAATATTTTTGAAGATTGGTGGCTAGACAGGGAGAAGGGCATGCAAACTAATGAGAGCTCTGTTCAGTGGAGATGCTTCTTTTGGCTTAGACAGTTCCTACCTATGTTTGCGGACCAGCCGCAGGACCTGGCAGTATTTGTTGTGTTACTTCCTCTGTGTTCTGACATATTTACAAAGGAGTGTGATATTTATTTTTGAAAGGATGCTTCAGGGAAGAAGGGAGTAAATTGTTCCTCCTTTATGTTGACTGTATCAAAGGTAATGGGCTTCAAGTGCGAGGAAGAGTCTTATTAGAAAAGAAACTCCTTAACGGTGAGGGTGATGAGAGGAAGATTATGGCGTGTTAATCACTGTATGTTTTTAAGAAAAGCTTGGGCATGTACTGGTAAAGAATAATCTAAATGTAGTTAATACTGATTTGGGGCAGGGATATAGACTAGATGAGCTTTCAGTCTCTTACAGCTCTATTTTTCTGTGAAAACTGGACATTGAATTGTTGTCATTTTTTGCATATCTCCTTTGGAACATTTCTAGTTCATGTATTAAGATATAGTATATCCGAATTGAAATTTGTCTAAGCAGGAGTATATTACCTTCAGTTTGACTTTAAATATCCATTTTCAGCAGTCATCTGGTGTCCAGTATAATTATGTCAGGATTTCTAGGGGCTGTCCGTGTGTCCCAAGATAGGGCAATATTCATAGAGAGTATTTTGATTAAAAGAACAGACTGGAAAAATGCAGAGATGCTTTGTATAACATGAGTAGTGGATGGACAATGTATTCGTGTGTGTGGGACAGAGAACCCTGCGTTGGTGGAGGAGATAATTAGGCAGAGCTAAACGTTGGGGCAGTTTCTGAGAAAAATGTAGAAAATTTGCATTTGACAATACAGTCATAATCTGTCTTTAATCTGGTGTTTCAGACAAATGCCGTTAGCTTTAGCAATATCTTCCTTTTTTTTTTTCTTTTTTTTTTTTTTTCTGTAGGCTGCCTGCCTCCCAAGAAAAGCAATAGGGTTTGGTTGGTTTGTTTTTTTTTTTTTTTAATTAAAAGCCTTGTGTCAGCAAGAATGAAAAGTAGTGTTTTGAGAGTAGTCCATGTTTGTGTTTATAGTTTCTTGGGCATGAGCAGTGTTAGTAATAGAGACATCAGCTTCCAAAAACTATCAGACCAAACATAAGTAATCTTTGTAATCTTTGACTGGGGAGACAGGAGAAAAAAAAAAAAATTTTAACAATTTTTTTTTATTTTTAGAAATTTAGACAATTCTTAAAAAAGAAAAACAAAACACAAATACATTTTTGCTCCAATCTACTTATCAAAAACCAGAGACCTTGAAGCGTGTGTTGTTTTTTTTTTTTTCCCAACTTCTGGATTTTGTTAGATCACAATTTTGTCCCTAACATTAATTTATTACAGACTGGAACCAAGTATTTCGCCTTTGTGTGATTCAGTGTCAGCTATGAATTGTTTTATCCCAATTTAGAGTAAGAAAAAATTAATCACAGTTTTGCAAACCAAGATTCCAAGAAATTGCTTTAGGTCAACCACAACACTTTCTGCTTTGATCTTGAAAGTATTTTTGCTCTACAGTGGCTTTAACTTGAGATGAAAAATGGTTTTGAATTTATGGAACGAAGGTGGCTGGGTTTTTTCGTTATACTCAAGATAAATGTATTTTTCCCTCCGAGCAAAACAATATGTCACTGAAAAATACAGATTGTTGGAAACTATTTAACTGAAAAAAATGCAGCCAGTTTTGTTGCTGACAAAATAATCTACTGTAATGGAAAGCGTTCTGTAAAATACCTGTTGAATTTGTAGAGCAAAGCTGGCCATGCGCTGACTTAAAAACAACAGAACAAAGATTACAAAAAGATATTTTTCCTTCCACTAAACTTTAAAGACTGAGAAAGATAAACTGTTCCTAGCACTCAAGCAAGCGATTCTTTCATCAGACTGTCATCTTTATTTAGTGCTTCTGATGCAGGCTTGTGATGATTGTTCTTTTTGGAAAGTTTAGACTCTGCCTCTCGTTTTTATAGGTGACAACTCAAGAAATATAATGTACCACTGTGATATTTTATTGTTTCCCGCAGGAAGCGTGTGAAGCTTGTCTATAAAAAACAGAAAATGTATCGAAGGAGCAGGACAGCTTCGGAGAGTTCTTCTCAGTGATCTTTTAATTGTAAAGATTGTTCCATCTTTTGAGATAGTCAAGTATCTGTTTGATAGCTGTTTGTCACTGGTGATGTGTTAACAGACGCTCTAAAAAAGAAGCATCATAATGATTTCTCAAGTTCTAGCTGAGCAGAGTGTTTAAGGAGGTGACTGGGACATATGCACAGAGATGGGCTCCAAACGTGTACTCAAGTGCTCAGCTGAAGAGTGGCCCAAAAAGGGAATCTTCAGTATGAAAATTTAGTTTTGAAGACGTATCCCTGATAGCTAGCAATGCTCTTGAGTGTAACTCAGAATTGTATTTTCTTTACTTTCTTTTCTGTAAAATTCACAAACCTTGTGTAGTGAACCTGTTTTCCGTACACTTCATTTGTGGAGTCTTCCTGTCGATTTTATAGCTCTTCCATTACACAAGGGGAGAAATATTCTACTCAGACTGTTACACTTTTCTAATAAACACTAAAGCTTGGCAGAAATGCTTAGGAATAGATGGCAAACATGGAACTCTTAACATAGAGGTTTTCATCCTGAATTTCATACTGGCTCAATTTCATACTGACTCTTCCTAAAGGTCTTAATTGGCCGTTCATGGAAAGAGAAGGTGCGGTGCATTGGGCTTCTTTACAAGGAAAAGGAGACAAAGGCTGCGGATTTATTAACTGCAAATGCTTTGTAAAGGAGCCTAAGAAATGTGACATTTCAGATTGTCCAGAGATGGGTCTTGTGAAACTTAGGGTAAACTGATGGCGCTGTCCTGTAAACTTGTTTGTGATGAAGGGAGGCAGAGAGTTGCCAAGGCATTCCTATAGATCAGTTACTGTTTGATAAATAATTCCACATCTGTGGCCGTGCTGGTGTGGCTGTAGAGATCTGGTTTTTGCCTGAGCAGGTAAGTTGGTGGTAGAATACTTACTCTTTTGATAGGCTTGAGGAGTTGAACCCTGGGATGGGTGATGCTTTTCAGTCGCGAAGAGCCATGAACAACATGATGTTTGTTGGGATTTTTAGGAAAAACGTATGTGTCAATCCTAGGCTCTAGAAATTGGAATCCAGAATCCTGTCACTGTTCTTCCACTGAAATTGTTAGGGTCTTTCCAGATAACAAGAATTTCAAGAATAATGGGGAAAAGCCAAGGACTTGTAGGTGGTCTTCTGTTCCAGGAGCATTCTCTTTCAAATTCAACCTTCTTCTTGTGTCGTTTGTACAAGTACATTTGTTTTGGTCCCCCAGTTGAGATTGAGGGGTTTTGAGATGCTGTTAGATGTAAGTACAGTTTCAGAATATTAAACCTAAGAATTTTCCTTCTAAATTGAAGACCACCTGTATTTTTGTGGATGCCAAATAGCTTCCTCTTCACTTACAAAGGGGAAATGCTCTTAAGTATGCTGTATTCTTCCACTATAGGCTGTATTTTTCCACTCCTTGTACTTTCTCACTTTTGCAGGAAGTTCACTGAGTTGTAGCTATAAATTTGCACTGCTATCTCTTGTGGATCATATGCCATACAGATCGTTTTTGGAAAGATGACACATAACAAGCACAATAAAACATGTGAAAGGCTTGGGAAGAGGAGTTTATAGCAACTTCTGTGCTTGCTTTCAGTAGTAGGAGTTACTGTGTATTACTTCAGACCGTTGAACTGGTACATGGTTTAGGGAAGAGATTGTCTCAGGAGCACCCCTGTACCCTGGTACAAGACTGCTCTGTGTCCTTGTGTTGTTCTACAGTCCCTTCTTGTCCCTCTTGGCTATAGGAAATACAGGAAGACAAATCAACTAGTGTACTTGCTTAGAATAGATAAGGCCACAGAAGAGTACTGCTTTTGAATAATAATCCAGACCTTGCTGAAATAGTTTACTGCTAATGACATCTAGGAAGTAGAAAGGATGGAAAATCTGTTGTGGAATACTTGTTTATACTTTGTGATTTAAACCAAAAATGTTTTTGACTGACTTTTTTTATTTCCAAATTCCAACTAGCTGCTGAGGATGTAATCATCCAGGGACCTGTGTTGCACTTTATTAATGAAATAGACTCTGCTATTTCCATAGTTGTTCTAATCAGTAGGAAAAAGAAATATAGCCTAGATTTTTTTTTATTTTTTAAAAATAAGCTTATCTGGCCTGTCTCCATGGCAGTACATTTATCTCAGATTTGCTCTCTGCACCTCAATGGAAGTATTGTAATTTTTGATGACACTTAAATTAAGGAAGTGCAAATACTGATAAATGAATGAAATTATGTCCACACTTAAGAAATTCTCTCTAAGGAAGGCTGGTGGCCTATAGTTTCACATCCACTAACATGAGCTCTAAAGAGTTGGATGTAAGGTTTGGATGCTGATGAAATAATTTGTCTTTTGTCTTGTACACTTCCAGTGTTCCCTAACCATGATACTGCCTCTGATGCTAAACTGACCCCTCAAAAAGAATTGGGGTGAAATGATGTAAGAGGGAGCTGCTTTCTAGCATGTTGTGTGAAGTGTGGTGTGGTATTTTGTGTCAGGAATGGGACTAACTATATGATACCTGTTTTACTTGGTGCATATCTAAATGAGGGGAATCTCAGTGTGTAGGTAAATGTTCATTTCTCTAGAATCGATACAACTACTTCCAAAGGTTAGTGTTTTGGTTGTTTTGTTATTGCCCCTTGTTGGAGGTGCCGTGTTAACAGATCAGGTGAGTAGTTGTCTTAATTTGCTTCAAGGCAAAATCTCTTGCAGTTTTTTGTTCAACACTGACAGTAATAAAGTACTGTGAATGGTAACTTTAAAGTTTTCCCAGTTGTACTTGCAAGGCTTTCTCTTTGTGCTCTTAGAGTAACAGGTTTTCTGCATGCATCTTGGGAGTGTGATGTTTTATTCACTTGTTTGTAGTGTGATCTTTAATCTAGAGGTATTTGCATTTCTTTTCTTCCAAACTACTCTTCACCAGTCAGGGAAGTTGCTGCAAAGATCAACTGTCAGGCATTTGGGAGCTTCTACTGTAATGAGAAAAGTCTTGGAAAGAAAGGTCCTTTCCATCCCTACCTCCTGATTCCCTCCACATGCACAGGGAGTTGCAGAAAGTAGGGAAATGAGGATGAGGAGCTAGTCGGAGAGGGAGGATCACGTTTTCTTTGTCTTGTTGATCGCAGTAAATCTCTGCAGACAATGAATGCACCTTGTTTGTATCTGCTGTTTGTAATGAGTTGAAAGAAGAATTTGGAATATCCAAACTTCATTGATCATTTAGATGCATTTATTTCTGCTTTGCTTCCAAGTAGCCTTTTGCTGAACCCTTCGTACCTTTTATCTGTGTGGTTTATTTAGTGCTTTGTCTGCAAAAGGTGTGTCGAGAAATGAGGTTACATTTTGAGATGCCAGAAGAAGGTGTAGGTTCCTTAGCGAGCAGGCACTGTAGCCCTGGGAATTTTCTGCAGTGTCAGTAATCTGCCTCATTAATAGGCAGCTGAAAGGCAACACCATCTGATGAGTATGCCTAGAGAGTAGAGTGTGGATTTTTTTTTTTTAAATCTGATTCTGCTGAGGAGCTATAGTATGTATTGCTTTAATTTTCTTTGCCTGGTATGATAAATTGCTGTTGATTGTTGCTGTTAGGACTTTTCTTTTCGATGGTGAAATGGGACTTGAGGTACAGGAGAAGATGAAGCAATGAGGACTGAAAGTGGGAATGGTTAGTAAAATCAGGCAAAGAAACCAGGACAGAAGTTAGTACTAATGTAAATTATTAGTTTCAGTTTCCTAAATGACCACAGGCAGGTAATTTAGGACAAAATACATGCCAAAGATGCCTGAATACGTGTAGTCAAATAGCAGAGACCTAAATATAGTGGCTCTGATACTGAGGGGCGATACAGATGTTGGACAATTTGCATGATCAGACAAAGGTGTAAATGTAACTTATTTTAAAAAAGATTTTATGAGCAAAAACAACTGACAGTGAACTTCCTTGGTTTTGGTGGCTTTAGTGTCTTATCTGTTGCTAGATATACCTTCTCTTTTTTGCAGCATTGCCACCAGTGTTCTAAACAAAAAATCAGTATTTGTGGCAAACATATCTGTTTTGATGAGAGAATGAAAATGATCTGCACCTGAGAATTGGAAAGTTTTTACAAGTTATCATTTACCTTAAAGAGTAGATCAAAGCTCTGATTATTTTCAGTCATTTTTTTAATTATTGTCAGCAGTGGGCTGTGACCATAGAAATAAAAAGGTTTATTACAGCTCTTGTCTGAGAGGGAAATTGGCATACTCGTTTTAGGGGAAAAAGAGAAATACCAGTTATGGAAAATTAAAGCTTTTCTAATTAAATATTTTCTCATACTTTGTAACAAACAGCTTTCTTTTCTTCCCACTTGTTTGCATGTAACTGAGTTCCCTTAATTTTAGTTCCACTTCATAAACGCTGGAGTCAAAACAACTCAAGTGCAAAGGAAATATCAAGTTCTGTTTCGTATAGTGATAATTATGGCATAGCAAAATGTCAGATGCAGAAGTATCCCCGTAACCCTAAAACGTCACGTAACGTAGTGCTTTTATAACGTGGAATTTGTTTGGACTCTGGTCCAAACCAGAAGAGTTTTAGTGTGTGTCTGCTACCCAGTTTCTTGGAGGTTGCCAGAACTTAACATTACATACTCAGTCAAGGTTTGAGTACATATAACTGGAAGTAAACATGGGTTTCTGCATTGTTTTGTTTTTCCATGGAGCTACGAAGGGATGCCTTTCATCTGTAATTTATGGATCACAAGTAGTGAAGTTGTATCCAAGATCTCAGTCCTTCGAGGTTTTCAAAACTTGATGGGACAAGGCCCTGAGCAACCTGTTCCGTTGTTGAATTTAGCCCTACTTTGAGCAAGAGGTCAGACCTAGAGACTTCCAGAGGTCTCTTCCAACCCAAGTGTTTCTGTGATTTTGTGTGGTTAATTGGCTATCTTTCTAATTAAAATTATCACTGAAATCACAAAGATTTAGCAATGTGTGTGTGTCTAAATCCCTTTGAACTTAGATAGTGAATTTAGATAGTGGATATTCATTCAAAAGATAGTCGTTATTCCTAGTATGTGATGAACTGGGTTTATGACAAATATCCAGCTGTGTGTGAGGCCGACTGACGGAAAGGAAGAAAGTTTAATTCTTGTTTTTCAGTGAGTGGTGTGATGTTGAAGAGGTATTTGCAACTTAGCCTGTTTAACAGAGTTGCAACTTTATAGTTCACAAAACTAAAGGGTTCTGTTATAGATGTCACTGCTGCTGTTTGTTATAGCATCAAAACCATGTTGGCTAATTAGCTGACACTTAAAATGAGACAAATTTTTAATTAGTTCCATTAACAGATTAGTTCCACAGAAAGCATGTGCTCATTCATGGTGACAGGTTCTTGGTTATTGGCCGCACTAGTCTTTCTTTGAATTCTGCAATCCAGATTTTGGTGAGGGCGGGAAGTTATCCACATAACCTCTGTGAATTCTTCTGTGTTTTTCAGGATCCATGGGTCTGTGATTTGGAAGCTGCTTCCAAGTACAGCCATAATCAGGAACAGGACACAGAGCATTTCAAAGCTCCAAGTGACAAAAGATTTCAAGCTGACAAACACACACAAGCCATCGGGACTAAGGAGCTTTTAGAGTCAAGCTTTCGACAAGCTGTGCCATCATATAGAGCTGATCCTTCCGATCGTTGCCTGATGAAGGATATTCCGTTTAAATCTTTGAGTACCATTCAAACACCTGTTTCCAACCAGCGTCAAATAGTTGCAACTAGTCATTCTGATGCCGTTATTGAACGTCATTCACCATTGCAGAAGGAATGTGCAATGAGATCTGCAGCTGCTTCCAATACACAAACAGAAGTCCACTTACCAGCTCAAAAGAAGCTGTCTATGGAGAAGTGTTCTGAGGATATGGCTAAGCAAATTACTTCTATCACCTTTTCATCCCGGAAACGTTTGCAGTCACCATTGACTTCCATGGCACTCAGCAGTAGCCTTACTAGAGATGATCTTGATGGGATAAAGCCTTTGGAGGTTGACTCTGCTGAGGAACAGAGCTGTGACAAACAACGCTGGGAAAGATCTAAGACCTGTCCTCCCAGTTCAACGCTTGCTGGCTCACTGTCTAATGAGATTGCTTATACTGCTGAAAAAAACAGGTTTCGTCATGTCTTTGCTGACAGTAACAGAGTTGGAGCTTATCAAGAAACAGACTCTTTGTCAGATCAAGATTCTGTAAGCATCCATGCTGTTAAAAGACAGACCCTTAGTGCAAAAAATTCTGATGTTCTACCTCAAGATGTAACTGAATTGGGCAGGCATTGTGCCAGACTCGTGGGGCTTGACTGCGATACAAGATTCAGTCAAGAAATGAATAGATTTAATGAACCTCGTTCTATAAGCTCTTACCAGCAGGAGAAAAGCAGCCCACCCGGCCACGTCCAGTTGTTTGAGAACTTAGAAGATGCAAGTCCAGCTGCACAAACTGATTTACTGAAGGGCCCTATTAAGTTGTTGGCAGAAGAGAAGGAAAGTCCTTCCAATGAAGTACCTCTCATTCAGAAAGAGGTTGTGAGAGAGGAAATCAATACGTCTCATCATTCATCTACAGATGGGATTTTATGCGGCACGTCTGTATCTGCTTCATCACCAACTAAGAAAGCACTGTCTTGTGTCCACATAAGTCTTTCCCCAAAGTGTAATAAGTCAGAGCTGCATAGTGATGTGAATGCTGAAAATGAGATGAGATCGTGGGGTAAACCTGAAGTTAATACTCAACCAGGATCTTCAAAAACTCCAGAAATTTTAATAGAAACTGTTTCTAAATTATCACCTGCTG